AAAAAAGTCGAGAGGAGGGGACAGAAGAGTGTTTCAAAGATGTAAAAGAGACAGACACAAAGGTAAAAAAAAGGCTAAGATGAGTACTGCGGAAGTAGTCGAATATGACATTGTAGTTTGAAGTGAGAGGTCAACTGCCGGTTAGTAGACTTTTTTGCCGTATAAGCATACGTTGCCCAGGGTGCACCACGTGGAGGTAAGTCTAATATACATTGCCCAGGGTGCACCACGGAGGTAAGTCTATTGCACACCCCATGATACCTATCATAACGCCTGCCATTTGAAATACTAATTACAACTTCGATTCAATGGATACGACGAGTTAGTTTATCGTAGTCATGTTTCCGTAAGAATAGTCAATTGCAAGTGGGCAAAGACATTTAAAATGGAGATCATGGATTGCATACACTTACGCACATTCACGTAGTATCTCTGTGCAGGAGTAATTAATGTTGTCTCGGGGTTGATTTATACGTCTTTAAAAATTCGAAGAGAATAATGAAGGTCCTCTCTCTTCTTCCTCTCCATGTTCTTTCTGTTCATCTTCCTGTTCTTCTATTACTTTTCCAAGCCTTCTTGTTACGTGATAGGCCTAAAGCTGCTTGGCAAACAGCCCAAGTAATTGAGCAGAGCAAATAATTAACTGAACACTCATTCGTGTTTTGCACTAACTTCCTGGAAAGTGCAAACAACACAGCATTCACAAGCTTTCTGGAAGAATTCTATTGGTGGCTCATTTCAAAGGCAATCTGTTGAAGGTAAACGCTCGTAATAGCTGACAAATGTGTTTCGGCAGGGTCTAATTATTTCTTTAGTCAAACGTAAAGTTGGGAGACACTCTTACAATTTTTAAGAGATTTCGACAGTCCAAATCGCACCTTTCTATTATTTATACTTATACTTTTGAATAGGGAGGTGTGCGATAGATTTACCTCCACGTGGTACACCTTGGGCAACGTATACTCATACGGTAGAAAAGTCTATTAACTGGCAGTTGACTTCTGACTCCAAACTACCATAACATAACTGTGTGTCATATTCGACCATTCCCAGTACTCACCTTACCTTTTCTCTACCTTTGTGTCTGTCTGTCTGTCTTTTTTACATCTGTGAATCATTATTCTGTCCTCCCTCTCGACTTTTTGTCACTTTGATGGTCCTTCCCCTCTGTAAAGCCTGAAATCAGCTAAATGGCTAATGATAACTATCAAAACGTCCGCCATTTAATATAAAATTAATGATTTTGAATATCTTTTACCTTTAAGTCAGTGTTTGAGGGAATGTTGACCATTTACACTCATCAAATCATGCATTTTTGATGGAGATGGTATAGCGCTAAGCGCCCACATCATGCTACAAATTAGATTTTCATGAAGCTTACTACAATTACACTTACTTCGATGATAGTTTAAAAGAATTGGACATTTTCCTCATTTATTTTCATACAATTCTCTCTCCCCCCCACCCACCTCTTTCATTCTGGAGATCCCAAAATTTTATCTTTCAGGGGCTCATCTGTGTGGAGATTTTGGATAAGTAGTTTTATTCTCGGTTTCAACATACATGAAGTGTAATGGAAGTAAGTATTAGGAAGCTGCGTAACAATGAATCGAAGAGAAAATATGAAATAGCAAAAAGTGTAATTGAATTCCGTTGCCTTTTCTCTAACTCCTCGATTAAAGTTTCGAAATAAAATAAAATTTGAAAAATTTGTACGTTGAGACGGTACAAATGCGGGGGGGAGGAATCACTAAGGCCTCTGAACCCCCCAAATTACTCAAATTGCTCACACAGAGATAATAATGAGGAAATCAATTTGAACAGAGAAGCTTTTGACAGGCCACACTTTGATTGAAGCTTATTGTGGTAAAGTCTGCGTAAATTGTCATCAGCCCTCTACTCTTAGGTCTAGGTGTCTGATGCCCGTTAGTTTACGTTTAAAACTGCGTTTTAATAGACAGGAGAGAAACAATTTATTAGAGGTTGACATGCAAAGAAAAAAACATACCTGAACATGCACTAAATGACAACTGCTTGCGAATCTACACATTCGTAAGATTGTTACTCTTCTTAAGTAGGTTTTTAATTATTACTATAATGACAGTATGTGGAACCAAAAAAATTGGTATTTCTGAAAATTAGCCGAATATTTGCGAATGTGAATCGTGGATACGTTTGCTTCAATATTGATTTTATTGATACATATATATTGATTAGCTTGATACAACACTACATGCATTAATATTTTCGTCTGTATTCAAATTTATTGAGTCCTCAAATTGACCTGCTGACATGAGATCTCTTATTTAGCGGCCTCAAATTCCTTAGAAGAAGAAACCACGTGCACAAGCACACCCTCTAATCAGCTGAGATGATGACTATTAAAAAAGTACATTCACCCTCTGTGAGAGGCAAATGCACTGATTTCTGAAGGTCCTGTCCAGAATTCGGACTAAAACCTAGGTAATTTATGTTATGTGCAAGTGCGAAATTCACATAAGCGTCGCTTGTTAAAACACAACCCCCCATAAATGTCAGACCACTCTCTCCCTTCTTGTTAAATGATATAAGTGCCACTACTGAGGACTCAAACAAGTAATTGAGGTGATAATAAAGGCCTGGCTTCTTCTGTTTTCTTCCTGTTTATTTTACCTGATTCGGTTATTCAGAGTATAAGCACACTCCGAGCGTATCGCAGGTAGTTGGATGCACGCACTGTCAATGACCTTGACGCAACCGTGGCCAGGACAACGCAGATATGTGCGCACGCTTTTCCCCTCGGCCAAATAGTGGAAATAGAGGCGCACATAAAACGCGCGCTACTCACACTGCTAGCATTGTGTTGATTGGTTGCTGCGCTAGACCAATAGATAAGCGGCCCAATGTCCACGCGAAGTGAGAGGGATATATTGAAGTTCCTGCATATTTTCTGCACTGAAGGTTACAGAGGCCTATTCAGTCAGCGGAAGGGGTCAGGCTATTATTACTATTCAGGCCTCACTATCTCAATTCTCCCTTTTAACCTCACTACTACTACCTACGCACCAGCGCTCATTGCGGCCCGCTTATACTAAGCACGCGTACGACACATACGTACGCACTCACGCACGAATCCCTGTAATACCTGCTGTGTGTGCAGGCTTCAGCTTTTCATACAAATCCTGTGTGTAGAATACCATATATATATATACCAATCAGCACCACACACGATCCCACACGCCCCTCTATATGTTTAATTGACATGCAGTTTCTTCATCAAAAAGCTTGAAGGTGAACATAAGTACGAAACCACGGCTGGAACAACTGCGCACCACCATAGAGTACGCAGCACGCTTTCAGATAGAAAGAGAGCGCAAACAGAACCACAGAGATAGGAGAACGCCGAGTGCGGATGTGTTACCCCTCTCGTCCATTCAGGAACACACTTTATTTTTGAATCCTCTGTCACACACACTCACAAATACACACACCTTCAAGGCCTGGGGTGACTTTTTGTGCCTCTGCTCTCTCTCTCTCCTAACGTACACACGGGATACTCGTATTGATCACTCCTCTTCTCTAGGAACTACATGACATGGATGTGACAGGGACAGATCCTCGAGCCCGAACGGGTCTTTTCCTTTGGCCATGGGCAGCTACTGGGTACTCCAATATGAATTCTTCAAACCCTAGTGGTACAAATATTCAGGCCACGCCACCGTTGGGTCTCTCATCTCCAAGTACAGGGTCATTTGAACAGGGTATTCAAATGCAACACCAGCAGCAAAATCAGTCCCAACAACAGGACAGCTCATTGGAATCCTTCTACTCTCGTCTCCCCTATTCAGCTGGTGGCGCAGTTCCATCTTTACAGCAAATGCAACAACACCAGAGGCAGCAGAGAGAAGCTGCAGTAGCTGCAGCTCAGGCAATTTCCGAAATGCAGGGTCAGCAGCAACAGGGTCTCCAACAGTCCAGTAGAATGGGGCCGATATCATCTCAGGCATCACAATCGCAGTCTCAAATACCCACTCAACCCCCACCTCCCCCTCCTCCTCCTCCTCTACAATTTGATCAACGATCTGCACAACTCATGAATGGAAGACAGGCTCAGGCAACAATTAATTCTGCGAGTTCTTCTCCCCTCAATAATGGTGCCTATCACAATCCCTCTCTCTCTCCCAACTCTCAAAATCAACACCCACCTCATCAACAGGCACAACAGCAACAGCAACAGCAACAGTTTCAAAGACACTACTCTTCAGCTGGGAGTCTTCATAACGTCACTGGTGCGTCTCCGTTGGATGGAAGGATTTCTTCAAGTGCTTCACCATCAGGTAGTTCAGCAGCACCTTCCTACTCACTGAAAAGATCCTCGAATGATTTCAACTCTGCTACGGCTATGGCATTGGCTCTGCAAGCAGTAGCAAAGGGTGATAGGCAAATGCCTCCTCCCCCACCCTCCCTTTCAATGCATAATTCAAGTACTTCGAATCAACCCGTAGATCACCTTCAAGGTGGAGATATGTTCTCTATGAATTCTACTAATTACTTATTCCAACCACCGAATATGTCGAAAGGGCCGGGTGGAAGCAGTGGGGGCGGTATTCACAGTAGAAGTTCTTCAGAAGCTGCCGCTGCCCAGATGGCAGCTGCAATGGTTGCCAATGAGATGGGAATGGATCCTCGGTCGGCTGGAAGTGCTCATCCGCTAAGTGGACTTCATGCAGCGGGAGGATTTCTGCCCGACTTTCTCACCTCCTCTTCTGCCTCTATGGGAGATACCAAAATGGACCCTTCTGGTGGGGGAGTTGGACTTCGAGGACCTTTCGATGGACCTCCGACAATGTCCGGTGGACTTGGGATGATGGAGGGGCTCCCAGGGATTTATGGACATGCCGCCAAGGGTTACAAATGCAAGATCTGTCAACATGTAAGTCGTCATTATTCTCTGCTTCATCTGTTCGTTTGAAACTTTGTTTGAGTGAACTGCATCCATTTCCTTCACTCTCTGATATTTTGATGTAGAGTTTTGGTTTGGTATTTAATAAGACTTGCTGGAAAAAGTTTAGTGTACCCCCCCCCATTTTATCCTTGTTAATTATTTAATCTTAATTAGATCAAATCGTGTAGATTTCTATCTTTCAAGGTGGAAAGACTCACAAATAGATGATATAGGTTAGTAATGCTTTTATAAAGGTTGTTCATTCATTAAAGACTAATTAAATTCGACATTGTGCTTACTTTAAGCCGAGCTCGGATCTAGGATATAGGAGTGTATTCGAATAGGTCATTTCAGTAATCAATTTTATATCGTCTAATTCGTTGATATCTTGTCGAGTTATATAGCCTCTTCAAATTGTTTTTTATTCACAATTAACTAGTCTTATAATTCTTTTTACGGGAAAATTTATTCGAAATTCCAATACTTCTCCCCCATCTTCTTTCATAGTAAACTTCCTAACTCGATGTGATCTAGAAGAGAATTTTAATTTTAAAAATTTTTCTAGATGCTTGCCATAGTACATGTGTACGCAACTTATTTCTGAAGTGCCTTCTTCTTCCACAAGGTGAAGTCTTTTTCATTCAGAGGGAAAGACTGACTGGAAGGGTACCTATTTAAATGTTTGCAACGAATATATCAGTTAGTGGAATTACGAAATCGTAGGACTTGAGATTTTTTAGTAGGGATTATCAATTATTCTAGGATTGAATCTCTCTCTACCAAATCAGTCAATACTCTCTTTCGATAGATAGCAATGATACTGGCGATGTTAGTGATTAGAAATAGGCTGGGATTTCATCCATCAGTCCACCTCCCCCCCCCCCCTCTTCAACGGATAAGTTATGACGATGGTGTATTTTACCAAATTGAACTCCGGTTCAAAATACGATCGTACCTAAGCCGTCATTTTATGCTGTGCACCTCTCTTTTGTAGTGTGCAGACGAAGATCAGGTCTCTGAGAGATACTGCTTTCTTACAACCTGTTACGCTCTCTCCAGTCTCTCCCGTTTAGTTTTCAGCCAAAAAAGGTGTCTAATGTTTACTTTCTTCGAATGCAGATAAAGAGGGTAAATATTAACGTTTTGGAGTCATCAGGGTTATTTATTCTCTAACTTAAGAAATAGAAAAGTCCCCATATGCTGGAGGGAGGCTGGGCGGGGTTGGGGGAGGGAGGGAAGGAAGGAAGAATACCTAATAAGCCTTTCGGGATGACAGCCTATTCCACGAAACCTGCCTATCAAACTGCATCTGCAAATGTGCAAACATCTGGGCTTCATTGAACCGGGGGAATCCTATGGCACCTCCGGTGATATGAAAGTAGAGAAGACAGCAAAAAAAAGAAGACCATTCCCACAGTTTGTTCATTGAAATGCGCATTTACAACTGTTTGAGATCGAGAGCGGCCATTATAGACATCCCATTGCGTCCAATACCACTTTATAATGCCAATTATGTTTTAATTAACAACATTTTGTTAAAGTCGCGAATTGGTGTGAGGCCAAAGTACAAACTTGGCCGCTCTGAAATTTGATCCCTCCACTCGTTTAATCGATCTCTCCAAATTAGGCGATTGAGTTGGGAACTTACGCTCTCATATGTTTGACTCATCGCCTCAATTAACTATCAACTTTCTTGCTCAATTTAATTGTTAAAAAAGGGGGGGGGGAAGTGTCAATCAAAGTTGGAATCTAGCTTTTCTCTGGGCTAATTTCAAAATTATTAATTAAATTCAGGCAAATCGTGCAATCAATCGTTCACTTACTGTTCGTGTAGACACATAGCAACATCATTATTTAACCTAAAAGAATTAACAGCCATATTGTTTCGCATTTAATTTGTAAATATAAACTTAGCTGAATCATTGAAGAAATGTAGGAGCCCTATTTCGGATGGCATTTCGTAAAATAACATTCCTTTTCCTCACAAGTATTAAAGCATATATCCGCCTTCCCTCCACCTCCTTTCCATGAAAGTTGTTGTTTCCGGAAAAAATTTTTATTAACTAAAAGTAAAGCTCGCCTTCTTCCGTTCGTCTTCTGCCTTCCGACAAACAGAGAGACGGAGAGGCTCCTTTCAAGTCGAGTAGCATATTTATGTGCTGGTGGTGGTGGAGTGAGTGAAGGTCAAATTTATGCTGAAATTGAAAATGACATACATGTTTCTTTTTTGTTTAAATTGATGAAGTTGTGGGGTTAAGGCTTAAAGTCTGGCAATTAGTCAGTAGACAAGGCTGGAAGCAAAGTTGGCTGAGAATCCATTCCAGTGATTTTCTAATCATTAACCGATTTTTTTTCAATTGAATTTGTACTGAAATGTGATAATTTTACTCTCTCTCTCTCTCTCTCAATATTCTCATTTTACTCTCACGTGAGATTGAGTTGGGATGATTTCTTGGGAATTTTCATGTAATACGATACCTGCACAATGATTTCCCCTTAATCAAAATAAAAATCGCTAACCTAAGACGTCATGATATCAGTCTGGATTTCATAAAGCCTTTTTGTGCGTCTTTACTACTCTTCTACTATTTTAACTTTACAAAAATTCGTTGTTTAAATGAGGTGTAAACTTGGAGAGTAAATTTCAAGTGGCATATGGGTGATGTATCATTGCGGATGATTCTCAAGAATTTGATTTGACTGGTTGGCTGAGAAGTAGCATATATTGATTCTAGCAATTATGCCCTTTCCTCATGCATAATTCTGAGCACATTCACCAGTTCCAATGAGCATCGGGCATCTCCCAATTCTTTCCCTGACTACTTTACTCTGCCGGTAGTTTTTTTCTTGCTTTCGTCCGCGCAAGAACGGAAAAAAGGTTTCTCTCTCTCTCGTTCTCCGGACACAATCGGACAGGATTGTTTCAATAGAGCTATTGAGAGAGCAAGAGGGAGAGAGAGAGAGGGAACGCGGGGATAGGAGGAGTAAAAGGGGGGGTTGCGTAGTTTGTGCTATTCTTCCTAAACCGGATGGGAGCGGCGTTTCTGATTAGGGCGCGCATGTGAACACGACAGTCCATTTCAAAAAAAACCATCTACCGCGTTTCAATTTGACACGCACTTAGATCTTCCAAAATTCCTTTTGTGACTCGCTGTGTTTGTTCCCCCCCCCCCCAATGTCTCATGATTCAAATATTCTTCCTATTTATTTGCCTCCTTTCAAATCTATGGAAGAAGGGGTAGGCTATTGTGCAATGAGAGAGGCGGCTATAGTTTTCTGTCCAAGATGAGGAAAACGAATAGACATGCAAGAAGCAGCCGCAAAATGGGAACCTAGAATCGGTATAACATTATTGCCATACTTGTTGATCAGACTGGATGTGCTTCAACGTGCGCGATCTGCCTTCCCGCTTGTCTGTTAGTCCTTGTTTTCTTCCCACCTAAGTACGCGATGTACCTACACACTTCCAATCGGGTTGACCTCTTCCCCTCTCTCTCTCTCTCTTCATCTTGGGATATTTTGTTGTTCTTTGCTCGAATTTGCGTGCGTGCGTTGTTGTTGTTGTTGTTGTGTACTTTTTGCCCCTAGATTCCTGGTCTGACCACTACTGTGGGATATACTTTTTCCCTTTTGCATTCGTGTCTATAGTCCCACTCAACTCGCTGCTAAGTCGCTTATTTCAGCCCCCATTCTTTACCTGTAGACATTTAATAGGGCGATTAATGCCAAATTACTTGAGAATTCAATGCATTATTTGGAGGTTATTAGCTATAGACGTGGCTGTAAGTTACTATTACCCTATGGGTGACCTTTGTATTGGCGGAGTTTTACAAGTTTAGCAATCAATAGCAGTGTCTAAATAAAAAGAAATTGAAAAATATCTATAAATTCGAAAAATAGCTAATTAATTTAATCAAATTTCCCTTAAATTGTCTAAGCTCACCAGACAGCGTCTATATAATCTCTTTATGCGTTAATTTAAGTAAGTGTGTGGACTAATTGGTTTAATTGATTTAAGAGCCTTAATAGTTCTCGAAATAAATTTGGGCTTAACTTAATAATAAATTGGAATTAGTAGCGCGAATAGCAATCAAAGCTAACTGAATTAGTCAAATCACAGCGGATCAGTCAATTCTTGACCTTTGAACTCACACAAATCAAACACAGGGACGCACTTGTCTGTTTTATGATCCGTGACCTTGAAATTAGTGTAATTTTAGGCGTAATTAACAAAACACCTTTCAATTTTTCATGGTATTTCATGACAATTATCTCAACGTTAACCTAGAACCAATTATAGACTTTCTGAAACGTTGGCTGAGATGGAAAAATATCTTTCACTGAATGTTGACGGATAATTTTGAGCAAGGAAATGAAATAATACTTGTTTATTATCCATCCTGTAATCACCTTCGTGGCCTTTATTAAACTGGCTTAAATTTATAAAATAGCATTGAATAATCAAGATGAATAGTGGACATTTGTGGAAATCTATCAACTATAAAAAATTGCTGATTGAGTTGAGACTGCTTGAAATCGTGAGAGTGTATAGAGAGCTCTTTTAACCACTTAATATTAAAGACACTTTCGAAATATACAAAAGACTTTGATCAATCAGGTGCTCAAAAACTCGCGTGCTATTGAATTTTTTTGCCTGTTAGACAAATATGCGGTCTTTTGGGTTGGCTAAATTTTTTTTGAAGAAGTCTCTGCGACACCCCGAACTCTAAAGGCGGTCACTACTCTGTTGCCCCATATTGCTGCGACAGACCAAGTAAACTTGTCATCTCGCAGAGCTTGTGAGAGGAGGAGTTCCTTTCACTCCGTCGTCTTCTCCCATCCTTTCCACAGGCAAATCAGGATTTATTGGTCTACTCTACCGCAAGAGAGGGAGAGAGAGTGGGAGTGAGAGAGAGAGAGAGGTAGCGGGCGATTCCATCTCACATGGAAGAAACGCCAATTCCACACACGGCTTTCTGCTGAGTGGTTGCCATATTCTCCTTTGACGACTGCCTTTATTTAAATTTCATTGTGTTTAAGTGACACATTTTTCTAACACTCCATGTTTTCATTCCGACGAAATTTGCATTTTTCGCATGCAAAAAATGTGCTCGTATCCACAAGTCTAGTCGACGTTTTGTAAGCAATGATTTACTTATCGAATTGGTGTACCGCAGAATAGACGCTGTTTGGGAAGGCAACTTACTTAAAAAATAGTAACCGATTTTAAAATCCACTAAATTAAGTTTTTGGGTCAAAGCTTAGCTTTCTTAAACGTTAGGCTAAGATTGGGCTCCTTTCCCAATGGCTTAAAAGGCTGATTTTGAAGGTTTTCAGATCAGACAGTTTTCGGAGACTGGAGAAAGGTGGTGAGTATGACTTCAGTTCAACCACAACATTTGCAACAACGTGACCATTGTCCGAGTTTTCAGTCCGACCTTCACAAGAAATAAGTAGCGATTGGCCATTAATCATTGTGTCTCTGTGTGTGAAAAATTCATGTCACCCAACTCTACTACGCGTGTCTCTTCACAAATCAATTGGCAGGTTGGAGTGACGCATGGTTTGGAAGCTAGATAAAAAGTTGTCATACAATGAGATAAATGGAGGGAGGGAGGTTGGGGGGGGGGGTAAGAGAAGGCGAACAGAGGAGATACTCTTCCACTAGCCTTCCATTTAAAGTGGCCGTAATTTCGGACACGGAGTCACCTGTCAAGGTCATTTAATTCTGCGCTACTCATTGGCAACGGTGTCGGGATGCGTAAATAGGACCAAACCATGTGTGGTTTGAACTCCCCACGTAGCGTAGTGCTCGAACACGTCGGTAGTCACTTGACGTGCTCCTGTACTGCCAGTGTTGTTGAAGTGGCTCTCTGCCCTCCTACGTCTGCGACCGGCCAACAATGCAGTCGGCTTCTCTAACTTTTCCTTCTTCCTACCAGCAGTCCTCTTTTCTCCTTGGATATTTTTTTCACCGCTGCAAGTTTATTATTTTCTTGCTGCATGGGACAACGGACTATACTTCTCGACGAGACGCACACACACACACACAGCGTTTTCGATTAAATTCCTCCTTCAATGCGTCGTGTCCTTTTCTATGATTGGAACACATTTTTCTTAAAAATACTACTGACGAATGCGTCGTCTCTCTTTTGTGCGTCTTAATGACACTTCAAGAGGAGAATCTTCAAATTTCTAAGTTACAAGGTCCTTGAATACTCCGCCTATTTCCTCTTGAGCTTTCAAATGCGTAAAAAAAGAAGTGTTTTTTTTAATCTAATCTTGCGTCGAAAACTCAAAGAAAGAAATCTGTCCTTTCCTGCAATTTTCGATCGGTGGAAACAAGTGTGACCTAAAAAAATAAAAAAACCAATATTTAAAAATTAATAATTAATAAAATATAGAAAGACAGGAGTGTAGCATGTTTTCAGGCAATGGGCATTTTGCAAGCATCAATCTATTTAAAATCAACTGTTGAAAGTGGGTGAATGAAAATGTATGTATGTGTGTGTGCGTGTGTATGTATGTATGTATGTGCGGGTGTGTATAGATGTCATTCATCCATTGTCAAAATACTGGAATTCGTCTTTTTTGACATACGTTAAGGAAAAGTTCAGAGATGGATTGAATGTGCGAAAATAGTAATACTTCATTAATATATTGTTCTGGTTGGAAATAGTAGGATGTTCTAATTACTATTTCTGCCACTACAAAGCAGCAGCTATACCTTCATTGCTGTCGATAGAACAAAAACTGCTTTTGATATTGAATCTAGTAATATTGTTAAAATTTTCCAATCGAAGGCACGATACTGCGTTTTCATGAAAGCCGCACATACAATAAAAATATTGGAATTGATGGAATTGCGAGGCATGAAATGAAATTCCGGTTAAATACATACGCGGCGAAATTTTTACGTGGGTGGAACCACAGATAATATTCTTCTTTCGTGAGGGGTTATAATTTTTATCATTGCTTTTTTTCTGTTTGTTAATAAAAATTGGGCAAATACGTTGAATTAGTGGTTTTTTTTATATCATGAAATTAATGAAGAATAATGAAAGCCATTTATCGCCTTGCAAAACTCACTACTAATTACAAAAATACCCATTTGAGGTTATGAAGAGGGAATTTTGCGCGAATAGGTTCATTTTCAAATACAAAAATTAAGTCACAATTGACATTTTCACATAAATATATATATATATATATATATATATATATATTTCAAAACTATTTCCGCCACCCTGTTTTAAGTCACAAAAAATAGACTTTTATTCTTGCAATCTTCCATCCTTATGCACTTAGTTCAGGGGAATGTTCTATTTTTAACCTTTTTCCCCTTTTTGGGATTGCTAACCCCTTAGTGATGGTCGGATATGTGCTACTAATGAATTTCAGTAGCGAATTTGTCTACACGACATTTCCCGACGAACTCAGTGGCTATCAAGTCTAGCCTGTCAAGCTCGACTTTTGGAGCCAAAACATGGAGACACAGCGGCGTTCATACTGTATGATAGCATATGATATTAAGCTGCTATTTTCAATGGATACTTTTTCCTATTCTTTAAAGGCTTCGAGTGGACAAAAATATAATTTCTTTATAAAAATACGAGCTTACATTCACCTTAGAAGGCTTGAGTGGAAATGACTGGCGCAAAGGTCCGTTCGTGAGCAATTAGTAGTGGCTTGTGCTCAAGGATTGGGGTCTTCTATGACCCCTTCGCAGACTAGATCCGTGATTGGCTAGTCTGGGAATTTAATGTTCTCCCTCCTGTCCATCTTCTGACTCTTCTGAGTGATTTATAACCAAATCGAATTTTATTTACTAGCACGCTAATTAACTTACTCTATTTAGGTAATTAAAAACGAAATATCGGACTTTTAGAGTAGAATAAACAAGGCCATTATTCCCATCTTTTGAATTATACCTAATGGCATTAAGCGGGATTAGTGGAATGTGTGAGGATTGAAAATGCAAAATTTGAAGTTCCAATCGTTCCAGACCTGTTGATTAATACTGAAATATGATCGTTCGCAACGAAGTTCTCCCGGTCTGTGCGTAGAGAGCACACACAAAAATCTGCTTAAGACACCCACAAGGTGTAGGTGATTAATGATCGTAGTCATGGGAATCAATTAATCATTCTCTCTCGCTCTCTCGTTGTGTTCGCGAACACACAACACACACACACGACCGTTTACGTTCACATGGCGTCCAATTATGACTACTATTCATCGCGCGCCAAAACATTCACAGAGCGCCAACAAAAGAAATGGAAGAAGAAAGTAGATGAGGAAAATAAATCAATAAGAGAGACGCATACTACCTTGGACAGTTTATTTTCCCAAATTTTTGAACTAGATTAGATTAAACATAAAGTAAATTAATTGGCTGGAAAAGTGTCTCTGGGGTTAGAAATTCGAAAAGAAAGACAAAGATTAGAAGTTGCGTTGCGAGTGTATGAGAAACACCAAGACATTAGGCTAATTGTTGCATAAAGTGTGTAATCCAGCCCAAGTGCTCATACAGTGAGCACACACGTGCACGCACGCACTTGGGGGCTGCTTTTGGCGATTTCGGTTCTTTTCTGATCATCTTGTGTTTCTTCGAACAGGCATTTGGCTGTTTCAGTCGGTTGGGAAAATGATAAAAGAGTAGAGGTGGAGTTATGCCGACTGTTTTTGAAAACGGTTGAGTTGTGGGTTGGATAGGTGAATGGAGGATGATGGAAGTGGGTGGAGGGGTGTGTAAAGGGGGGGGGGGTTGAAAGAAGGGAGGAGAGATAACATGAGGACATAATTTCCTTCGTTTAGTCTACCTTCTCATGACAACTCCGACTACTTGGCCGACACTACAACGCACACACACACAAGCCAAGAGCAAAAACAGCAACAGCAGGGGAAAGATTCCCAATGCCGAAAATACCCTTCCCGTTTGTCTTATTTAATAATACTAACGTCCATATTGTTATCGCTATTAACCTGCTCCACGTGGTGGGGGATTTGCCGATTCGGATTTTTCGTCACTTTCTGGCAGAGTCGGCTTTCATCTTTACGTTCTCTTTCCCACCCCACCCCACCCCACCCCTTCCCCCTTCCTTCCTGCATATTGCCATTTTCCTTCGGAATGCCGACACAAAGTCTTCTCCATTTGTTCATTTTCGATTATTCATCAAATATGGACCGGAGGTAAAATTAAAGAAAATACTGAACCTATTTTATTAAATAGGCCTAGTTTTTTGCTTTCAATTATTAATTATCACACATAAACACACACTTATCCATATTCCACTGATTGGTACCTTCGAGGTGTCACATGATTCTGTCTGCCATCTTCTCGACTTGGTTTGTATCGAGTTCGCTTTGTCTTTTTGATTAAAACTCGACTCGAACCCCCCCCCNCCCCCCCCCTCCCCGCCCCCCTCTCCCACCCCTCTACTCTCTCCATATCGCATTCTTGGGTTAGAGTGTGCCTTTTTTCTCTCACATCGTCAAAAGAATCTAATCAACTCTTATGCGACATCAATTGTCAAAATACTCTGCGCCCACTCCTTCCGGTTTACTGAAAAGGCGATAATCATCCATCCTACCCCCCAAAGTGAACTGCGTCGAATTTTGTCCGCTTCTCCTTGAAAATTGTATCAATTTATATGACATTTGCAGTGTAGAAGAAATGCACAAAACAAGGCATTTTTCTATCCGACGGGGGTTTTACTCCAATTATCCACTGTCGTTGTCGTTGTTGTTGTTGTTGAAAAAGTGCATGCCACCTGGTGCAATAGGCCACAAACGTCTGGTATAATATCCTCAAAATTAATTTGAATCTTTTCATTTGACCCAAATGCTCACCATCTCTATTCGACGCTGATTTCCGATTATTCGACAGGAGGGCTATACTCTTTCCTCCTAAACCTAAAAGTGCTTTTAGTTATGTTGATATTTTAAAAAGCCCTCCTAAGTTGAATCTCGAAAGTGCTTTGTTTGTTGCTCCCTTTTTTCTTATCCCAACCCCCCCCCCCTCCCCCACCCAAGCAACAAAGAGTATTTTTTTTGGCGATTGTGATCAATAAAACTATAAAATTTGAATACTGTGAGCCCAAGGTGAGTTCCACTGTGTTGAATGACACGATTGCACTATATTCCTGAATGTCTTTTTTGACAATTTGAATTTTTTGTGGTAAAAACAACTATCAGTGTCTACGATGACGCAGATGATGCGGTATTTTACTGTTGCTCAATGTTTTCGTACTATGGCTGTTATACTTTTTAATGTAATTAAGGTTCTCTTAGTATGAACACTTTGCAACAACGTTCAATAAACAATTTTAGTGCTAAGATGAGTGGTTTAATTTAAACTTCTCGAGTGAATGGTCTCCACTTACTTCTCTATAATTTGGTCTGGTCACGCGGGGTCTTTGTTCTAACCTGACTTACCATCTGTCAAAAGAACAAAGCAATTTATCAAGCTGGGGTCCTATCGACGACGACGCACGGAAAGGTATATACACACACAGTTGTAAAAATATAAGGTCTTAAGGAAAAAAAGCACAAATTTTCGTTGGCTTGTATCCTATTGACGTCTTATCATGTTGCACTTTTTTGGTGCACACGTTCACTCACCAATCAGAACTTAGAGCCTCAAGGCCACTGAAGATTTGTGGCCTGTCAATCGAACAGGACTATGTGATTTTCTGCGTGTTTTAGGCTGTATACACCTATATGTTGCGTGTTTATGACAATATGCAACTGAACGAAATAAAGGAGACAGATGTAGAAAAAAAATCAGCTTGGACACATTATGTGTGCCTTTTTGAGAAATTGTGTTTGGATTTGAATAAATATTTATACTCTTGAAGGTATAAACACCTATCCGATTCCCGATACATACCTAGATTCTCCTTGATTTGGAAATCATGTCTACTAATAAATATCGCAAATATAATTATTATAAATAGAAGCATAAAATTTTTCTCCGAATTTAAAGGCAAAAGAAATTCATTTAAACTAATTTTGTTATTTATTCCTTCTTTAACACAGTTGTATTCAAATTGGTATGTTTTGGATGGTGCAAATTGTGCTTTTTACTGCGCGCTAATTATTAGTTGTCAGTCTACATTTTGATAGGTTTATTATACTTCATGGTGGGAGGGCCATGAATAATTTCTCAAGGTCATTAATTAACCGAGAGGGGTGGGGGTGGGGGTGGGGGGGGGCTGTGCACTAGGATACACATTCAGAACTATTATAAATACTACTTCTATCACTTTGAGGCTTTTATTTGGTTAAATTAAGTAGGCCTGAATTTATGGCGAAATTTAATTTTGTTGTAAGGACTCTTGAACCAACTTGGTCTTGTCATCATTGAAAAGACCACTTTTTTTTTTCTTAACAAAAAATAAACTATGACTACATAAATGAAAATTTTACCTCCGTGTGTATACTCAAGTATTAATTAATTAATTAATTATTTTTTTGTTTAATTTAAGGTGTGCTTTTCGCGCCAAGACCTCTCAACGCATAACTCTACTACTCATAAGCAGGATCCAAGACCCTATCGCTGTGATCAATGTGGACGTCAGTTTTCAACTTGCGCCTATTTGTCCCAGCATCGTCGAATTCATAGCGGCATCAAACCCTACGTCTGTCGTTACTGCGATCGCAAATTCACTCAACTCAGCCACGTTCAACAGCATGAAAGAATTCACACTGGAGAAAAGCCCTACAAGTGCGTTTATTTCCACACACACTGATTCCTGATTTCTGCTTTTCTTGAAAAAATTTTGATGGCCTTTGTGATTAATTGACTGGCAAGAGAGAGATATAATGATTGACATCATTTTATTAATGAGGCCGCTCGAATTTCACTCAAAAGGGGGTTAGAATTTTGAGCTCAGAGTTTGAGTTGATGGCCTTAATTCGTCGTGGTAGTTGATTGCATAATTCCTTTTGAGTTAAAAACTGTCACAGAGGCAAACGGATAAATATTAACTTGATAGGCGGAAGTGCTACGTGAGAGAGTGGGAGAGAGAGAGAGAGCTTGTTTGTTGTTTGAATGAATTAAACAGAGTTGGAGGTGGGGGGTGGAGGGTGGAGGGAGAGAGGGGGGTGGAAAGGGTGGGAAGAGGGAGGATAATAGATGGTGTAGTGTCGGCAAATCGTCCTTGAAAAAAAGAACATTAAGAGTTGCCGTCGCTTTGCCTACTGTACGTGACATCGGAGTTTAGCTCTTCATATTTGCGTTTGTAAGTGTGAATTCCGTTTGCCCCAATTACAAAAGTTTGTGTCCCTCTCGCACGCTCTCTATCTCATTCTTTGTTTTCCTCCAAATCACTTTCAGCCTCCAAGCTGCATGAAGTTAAAATAATTATTTACTTACCAATGTATTTAAGTAGTTGCTACGACTCTGTCTAGCAATAATTTGGCATTGCTTAGCATTCTGAGATGTGTTTTTACGTAGAAATCCGATTAGCAGAGACGGACAATTTTTCGTGAGGGGGAAGGGGTGGAGGGGGAGGGGAGGGGGGTTTGAAAATCAACCAATGGTGGTACAGTTTATATTGGGTTAAAAGCACACGTAGACACAAAGTGGAATTTCACATGTTTCCTCAAAAGTACACATTTTCGGAGTCTGTTGCAGTACCCGAGGCGTGTATGTATGTATTTGCACAAAATACACAGCTTTCAATCAAATCCTTCAAAAATTTTGTTTTCTTGTAATCTCTAATCCAAACTAAGAACTTTCGCAAATTTGTTTGCTTAGAACTATCAGCATGGTTACACACACACACACACATACACAGTTATTTCCAACTTTTTTGCCTTTAAATAGGTAAATAAAGAAGTTAGGGATTGCATTTACCTAATCGAGCCAATATTAATAAATAAAAATTACACAATGGCACTTTAAAAAAGACTCTCTCCATTCATGAATTCATTGTTGAATGAATGACCTTCCATATTACCTCAAGACGTCTTCATTGGAATTTTTTTGTCCTTTCACAAGTTCAACTCTTTGGTCTAATTTTGAAGTTTGTCAGTATTTAGGGCAGTAAATCAGAGTGAAGGCGCTTTAGGAGGCGGCGAAGAGAGAGAGAGAGAGTTAGCGGTGCATCTTTCTCTCTATTTGAAAGAGTTGATTTTGTTTGAATGTTTCCCATACCGGAAGTGTGGCATCGGCGGGAAAGCGCCAATCCATGTTTAATCGCTCTCCTTTTTTTGGCAATTCGCTTTGCCCTTGATCGGACTCAAGAGACACAACATTATTTTACTCTCTACCCTTACATCTGCGCGCCCGCATTTGCCCTTATTTGCCATTATGCCACGCTCAATTTTCATCTTTGATCTCTTCACCACAGAAATTGAGCTTGGCTCGTAGGCTGTTTCCTACCGTTAGATCTCCTCGCATCTTCTTTGACTGCGCTGGCTCTTTTCAGCTCTCTACACCTAATCAAATTGAGGTCTTTAGCACAGCTCTAACTTAATCGATAGTTAATCCAATATTATTAAGCCTTGCATTATTCTCTAAATTAGAAAGGAGCTAAAATGCGGAAAGTAGAGGGAATGTCTGAGGTAATAATTAGGTTACTGTGTATTGGACAACAAATCGCGTATTTGCATTAGCAAGTTGTGGTATGTTTTGTTGCTGCCCCAACAAAATGTTGTCTACCCTCTCGCTCTCTCTCCCTCGCCACTTAGATTGCGTTCCCATTCCTTTTTCGCTAAGTGGACTATAATTAGAGCCGCATCAGCACCAATAGCCTTTTTTTGGGGGGGGGGGGGGGTAGGTGGAAATATTTGGTGAAAATGGCTCTTTTCAAAATGTAGTAGTACTACTGCTTCTACTACTTCCTTCTCTCTCTCCCTCTCAGCACCACTACTACTATAGTCTCTCTCCTCCACTTCCCCTCTCCCCTCCACTCCCCTCATTTGCCGACCATTTGTGTGTGTGTGTGTCGGTATTTTGATGGCTTGACAATTTCGCTTGAACACAGGTTTGTATCTCCGTATATACACGCGCATTAGGGGCGATCGTAGTAGAAGGAGAAACATGACCTAAGTGATGCAGTGTGTAGTAGTCTGGGGGAAGGAAAGTTGGAAGGGAGATCCGGTCTGGCATTCCTTTTTGTTCCCAGGTTTAGTCTATTCACTATATATCTCTCTCTCCCACTCTCTCCCTCCTTCCCCTTTGCCCATTCGACTAGTTACCTAAAATTTTATATCGCTAGCATCATCTTTTCTCCATCCAGGGGGTTGCCTTCTGTCACTTCAAGAACTGTGCTTATTATAATTTAAAAAAAGTCGAAAACAAGTGTATCACGAGTGACGAAAAATCTATTTAAGAAAGGAGTGGCTCTAATTCCAACCTATTTTCACACCACATGATCGATTAATCATATATGTATTAATTGGAACTTGTAGATGCCTCTATACCTAGACCTAAATCTAAATCGAAGCATACCTTAGATACCAGGCCCTTAATGAGCTATTTTTTGGCTAAAATATTGTTAATAATCGAAATATTGTTAATTAATAAATCGAAATTTCCTTCCTTTGTGCCTCTGCAAACTTTAGCCGAAGACGCATCTACAAGAAAACCGAAGTGGGATAAGAAACCAATTGTTGAAGTGAATTATAATTTATTTCATTAAATTAAAGTATTTTAAATTTCCATTAGAATTATTCATTATTTTCTAACCAATTATAGTTAAGTATTTTTTAACCATACCCAAGTCAATAGTGCAAACCAGAAATCGATTTTTTGAGACAAATTCTCTAAAAAATAGTACAATCAAGCAATTTAAGGCAATTTCTCATTTTAACCAGCAACTGTCTTGGTAAGACCTCAGGATCAAATTGGGGAGTGATTTGGAGGAATGTCCCTCTATTTTGAGCTAATTAGATCACTTAGTAAAATTGTGGGTGGAAGATCAGATCACTTCATTAGCTGTTCCACTATCGATTAGCTCGGCGACCGGTAGAGAGGGAAAATGTGTGTGTGTGAGAGAGCATGTGTGTTTACTCAGGGTGACCAGACTTGGCCAAAATGATAAAGGCAACATCACTTAGCTAGGTAATTTGGAATACTTTATTTTTTCTCGGTAAAAAATGCCCCCACTTTATTTCACCATCACGCAATATATGTCCACGTGGAATAGATATGTAGATAAGCGCCCCCATACTACTACTACTGTGTTTGCCGTAGTAACTTACTAAAACAGTTTTAATTGTGGTTTTTTTTGCGCGCGCGCGCACCCTGGCGTTGACAATGTGAAATGAGAATGAAAATAGTCGACTCAGTTACACAATCACGTGAAACAGTATTTCTAAAACAATCGATATGTACTGCTTTCAGGATTTTACGGGCAGTTTGGCTTACGAAAGTTGATATTTCAAAAATGAAAAAATGCTTTAAAAGTTGTAAAGGAAATTTCTATGCCCTAAACTCGATTAGTTATGGTATTGTTTATTTTTTTAGAAGCAATCCCATCTTAATGCCAATATAACGCCTTAGGAATTGTTGCTTTGACTTCAGTTTAAAGCAAAACTTACTTAAATCATGGAAGTAGGTAATATCCTTTCTGGTTTATTCTAGGTGTGCAACTTGTTTCAAGAGCTTCACTCAAATGTCCAATCTGCAGTCACATCAGCGTCAGCACATGAAAGGAAAGCCCCATCGGTGTGAAAATTGTTTCATGTCATACGACACCAAGGAGGAATTGGATGTTCATGTTCAGGCTAAACATTCGGGCAATCGATATGCTAAAGTGCTTGTATGCCCTGCATGTTCAAAGAGCTATAACTCGGAGACATATCTGGCTAAGCATATGGAAAGGCATAAAGAGGCTGTGACGAATGCTAATGTCAACAGATTTGGGGCTCTGAATACCTCAGCCGGTGCATTGGGAGCTTTAAGTGGATTCATGTCCAGTCATCATTCAGGAATGGGCAGTAGATCGATCGCTCCTGTAACTGAACAAAGCCTTCATGAGGAACTTCAACAACGAATAGGTCATCCACAAGATCTTCAGAATCTTCAGAGAGCAGCAGTAGCTGCAGCCGCATCGATAATGTCCCCAATGGGCCCGCCTGGTCTGGGGGGTCACGATACCAACCATCTTCTTCACCATCTCCCTTCGGGATTGCAGGGTCAGCTATCTATGGCTCAAAAGAGTCATCAACAAGGAATCCACAGTAGTGGAAATCATCCAGGAGGTCACAACACACCGGGGTTTGTTGATAGCTACCAACAGCATCAGATGCTTGCAGCTGCCTCACCCTACTCAAATCAAATGCCATCATTTTTGGGACGATCGTCAGACGTGCGTCAAATGCCCCGATTTCCACCCACTCCCTTGGATGCTACTGGACGAAAAATGATGGATTTTCAGGGAAACCAACCTATGCCTCCACAACAGCAGGCACTTAATCCACCGTTGGCACATCAACAGATGTCCCTGGAACATTCGGCACCCCCTCAAACACCCTCCATGCAACCACCTCCTCCCCCTCCTCAATTTCAGTCCCCCCAGACGTTACCTCATCAGCAATCACAGTCAATGAGACCTTTCGTAAATTCGCCTCAAGATGCTAGAAGAGGAAAGAGCATGGAAGGTGGTAATGGTAAACATGTCGGTGATGACGGTAAAGAGGTTAACTCTTGGGATCAAGGGCCAGTGATCCCAATGCCAATTATGGATAGCCAGGATAATGGAAGTAGTGTGAGCTTAACCGGAGATGAGTCTGGAGGCAATCTTTGGACACCACATTCTGCTGCTAAGCGACTAAAGCCCGATCCAGATGAACGGTATAGCCATCACCACCCCCATCACCAGACTCAGCAACAACCTTTTGAGACGGAATATCTACGAAGATCCGCAGCCGCAGAGCCGCAATATCAACAGCAAATGATCCAATCGCACATGCAGGCTTCCGAGAATTCAATGGAGCATGTGGTTGACAAATTGGCGAAATTCTGGCAACGAAATTCTACCGGTCAAACAATGGACGGGAAACCGGGAAGAGATATTCGGATTGAGGCTCTTTTAAGTGGTTTCCCCCAAAATTCGGAGAGAGACAGAAGACCAGAAGAAATAGAACAGGACAATGAAAGTGGAGAAATGGAGCGTTTGTGCAATATGTCGCAGTCATCGTCTACTACAAACAGAGAGCGTGATTATCAGCCTGAAGTTCAGTCGCCAAGGCCTTCACGGGAGGAAAATGAGAGTGGATATCGCGGAAACTCGGAAGAAGATAGAGAAAACAACGGTGCTAGAAATGATGGAACTGCTACTCCCGGTTATCACCATACGGCGTATGGAAGTTCAGTAGCAAATGAAGGGAGGAATAATTCTGAGACAGGCTATTCAAATACAGGAACCTTCTATCCAACCGACACCACAGCTCGTGATCTTTCGGTTATACGTGAAGACGACGGTGTTCAACAGCAAGCTGATTCAACCGGAAATGGGGTTGGATTTCCAGTTCATTTCTCCTCTCAATCCGCTCAGTAGATGGACACTTTGAAGTCCTGGTAAACAAGCGTATCTCTCCTTACTCATCATCACTTCTTGCCAGGCTCTTAAGCAGGGTAATAATCTGTGTACATAGGCCCTCTCTTAACCAACCTCCGCCGTTTATTATTAATGACTAACGTTGTTACTACTGTTTATTTTGTTTGTTCTCTCTTAAACCCCAACCTGTACGCGCACCACTCACTCATTAAAACACGCTCTACTATTCATTTATCAGTAGCAATTTTGTTTCGTTTTATCCCACCCATTCCCTTCATTGCGTATTTGGATTACTAATATTAAAGCGCCACACATCTTGCCATGAAACATATGAACCAGCCAGCCAGTCAGCCAGCAAATCAATCATACGCAGTCAATCAATAGCCTACTCGCAACTGGGGTATTTTTTATACAGGACAATCATCGCCCCCCTATCATTCTCCCAATCCCTGACCTTGCGTTCATTTATTTCCCACTCATTTTTATTCCCAAGAAATGCATCTCTACGGGCAAATGAGGGTACATACATACACACACACACACACACACACACGTACGTACATACGGGCGGGCTGGCTTGAAGGGAATGGATGAAGGAGGGGAGTAGATCTTCGAACAAGGGGTATGCTGAGGGCCCTTTGTATAACCCTACCCACCCCACCCCCCCC